CTCAGGCCTCGGAGGAGAACCGCCCCCTCGCTGGCCTGGCTGCTGCCCTCGCTGGAGCCAAACTTCGGAAAGTGCCAAGGGTGAGAGGAAACACCAGGCATCCGCGGCTGGTGTACTGGGAATGTGTTCTTTCCCAAGTATTCTGGGCCAAGTTGGAAAATACGTTGTTTTTTTTTGTAATGAACAGATCCATAATGATTTGGATGATTTTCATGACTATGCGATTTTAGCTGTTACTTTTCTTTTGGAACATAAGAAAAGTGACAAACCAGAGGAAGTCCATCTATTCATTTGGTATTGAGAAGTTAATTGATTCAAGGGCCTCATCCTACCCTTTCTTGAAAGAATCCATGCTATCGGCTCCAACATCATGGCTGAGTAGCTTGTTCCATGCTCCCACAACAATTCATGTAAGAAAAGTGTCGCCTGTTCTTTGTTTTAAACTGCACTTGTTTGAACACTGCACATTTCCTCTGGTTTGTTTCACTGTTGATTCTGGAGAAATGTGCTGACTTGACCTTTTCAATGCTTTCAAGGATCTTGAAAACTTGAATTTGTTCCTTTTGTAGTTTTCTACTCAAGATGAAAAATGTTCAGTTGTTTCAGCCAGCAATATGGAACATTTCTCTTAAGTTTCAGAATGTATCTGATTACTCCTCTCTAGACTGATTCAAAATATTTTTGTGACCAAAACTGACCACTAAGATCTAAAGTCTTACTACTGAATTTTACAATTTAAACATTCATCCCTTGGTTGTAACTTTGTATCCCTGACATTTTGTTTGCTGTTTATTGAAGATGAATGTTAAAACACCCAAACCATTTTTCATAAGTAGCCTCTTGCTTAGTGATACCCAGTTTGTAGCTATAGTGTTTTTTTTTCTACCTGCACTTATGTTTTGCACTAGTTATGTCAAATTAAAAACATTCCAAATTATCGATGTACCTGTGATCTCCCTGCAGAATGATGAGGCGCCAAACGCTGCCCCTGGAGGTGCCATGGGCTCTGCTGCCTCTAAGACAGAGTCCTCTCGTGGCAATGGGCCTCTCTCTGTTGGTGGGGGAGGGCTGATGGAAGAGATGAGTGCCCTGCTGGCCAGGAGGTGACATTACATTGCGCTGAACTTGAGAGGAGTTGATTGGCTTAAAAATGAAAAGTGGAGGCTTTGCGGGTTGTGATAATTTAACCTAAGATGAAAAGGAAATTTAGCAAGGCGTTTCAGACAGAAGCCTTGTTTTATTCTGAAAGGCTGGGGCTGACAAGTCTATGTATATACAGTATGCCCACATTGTTCCTAAACCAGGCATTTTGTATCTAGCAGTCCATCTTACCAGCTTGCCTTTTTTAAGTCTTAGTAGCATTCTCTAATATAGCTTTAAAAGAGCTATGGCTAACATTATCTTAACTCTGTATCAGTATGGCAGAAAGGTCTTTGAGTGTGTGAATGTTTAAGGCTTTATTTTTTTTCCTGTTTTTTTTACAGGAGAAGAATTGCCGAAAAGGGATCAACACCTGAACCCGAGCAGAAAGACAAAGCTGTGAGTACAGAGCTGAGCAGACAAAGATTGGGGTTTTTCTTTGCTCTTGATTTCTTTTTTAGGCAGAGGTTTCTACTGGAAACTAGTAAACTGCAATCGCTAAAAATAAACCGATTTTTAAGCTACAGAGTTTTAGAAAGCCAAAAGTTTTGTTTGTGGCATGCCCATGCTTAAAATGTTCCAGCTTGTTCAGTGCACTGGTGCCAGCAAGTTGATTTGCACTCTTTTCTGAAGCGCTCCACCTAGTGGATATAAAGTCCACTGGCTGCCAGTGAGGCTTATTAAGGGGTTTTATGTTAAGTTGTTCAAGGTTCAGGACTTTCCCGTCTTTCAGGGCTCCTTGTTCTATACGTACAATGTGAAATCTGGAGGTACACCCTTTCAATCCCTACCCCCTATTTCTGGAAGTACCTCCCAATCCATTTATTTAATTGATGGTAACTAGATTTGTGGATGTATGTTTTGTTTTTAATTTTGTACAGTGCTCTGTAAAATGCCCATGCATGAAGACCACTAGATACGAATACATTTCTACACATTGTGTTGGCCTACAATGGGGTTTTGTGAACCTTTACTCCATCAACATGTCTACTTTTTACCAGCAAAGTATCAAAGTTATATTTGAGAGTGAGTTGACTCATTGCTGGTTGATGAATAGCAGTAACACATCTCTGTAATCATATACAATGAAGTTCTTGTTGGTACTGAATTTCTTTTTATTCCTGGATCTTACCAGTTATTTCTCTGTGAACAGGATGAACCGGAACCTTCGGCTCCAAAAGTGTCTTCATCAGGCACACCAGGTGAGGAGTGGATGCATACTGTTCTAAAAAAGCCTTACACAAAGACTCTTACCAAGGTCAGACTCAATCTAACACAATGAACTACTAAATAAATAAGCCTGGTGGACTTAAACATGTTCATGTTCATGTTTAAGTCATATTAGACAGCATTATTAACTTGTTTGCATGCACCATAATTAAAACAAAAGGTTGGATGTTGATGACATATTTGTAAAGTCTAAAACTTAAGTAATATACATTTTAAATCTGTTCCTACTTTGAACTGCCTTTGAATTATTTAGATATTTCATTTGCCCAATACCTCACTGAACATGGATGTTGAGAAATGTGAGAAACAATGACAGGGGCTCCTGATTGGCCCACCTGGAAAAAGAGCATAGATTGAGAGAGCTGTGATCCAGGAGTTGCATGGCTTTGAGGCACAGGTGTGCCTGCTAGGCTCTAGTCCAATGCAAGCAGAAGACATGCACTTTGCCTACCTTGGATTGCAGCCTCAGTATGGAGTGGAAGGGATGGAGTTATTTTGGGCGGAGCTTTCTCTGGCTCCCAGTGATGGAGAGAAACTATGATCTCCTGAGTGCTTGCAGTGTCGTTAGTAATGGACTCCTCCTGTTGGCGCTGAACCTCCAGTGCAGGGTTGCATTTTTCCTGAGTCTCACTCTCCCCTGTGTGCGGTTGCAGGATTTGTAGCCGTGAAGAGAGACATGACAAACACAATTAGCAATTACAAACTGCGAGGGTAAAAAAACAAATTCAAAATTTGATTTTTTTTAAATAAAGCGTTTTACAATATGTAGGTTGATTTTATGTATGAAAGGCCCCTTTTCCAACCTATTTAATCTTTCCATGATTCCTGTTGGTATTTCTGAGAAAATTCTGTGCTTCTGTGTGAGGAGTGAATATTGTTTTAGCGATTCTGATCTCTCTAGCTGAATGCCTTCTTTCAATAAGATTTGTTTTTAGCCTTTTATTAATTTATGTTTTCTTCCTTTTAGATATGGCTAGAAAGCCATGGGAACGGACAAATACGATGAATGGTAGCAAATCACCGGTTATTTCAAGGTAATTACAAAATGGAAATCACTCCAGTAAAACATCTATACAAGAAAATTAGAATATTCAATTATAAAACATATTTTTAGATGAATTTGCTTTGGCAAGCATGTCTTTGGTGTCAATACATTTTGATTAAAAGTCTATAATGACAATTGGTAAGACTAAGATCTAAAATTGAAAAACAAAATGTACTATCATAGCCCTCCTATATCAATTTCTTGGTTTAATTGTTAATCATTCTGACTGCTGAAAATGTGATATTCTGAGACCAATTTCTTGAGGATAGCATGGCTTATTGTTAGTTTTTGCCTGAAAAATCACTAAACATTACTAAAGCTAATTGTCTTTGCTTACTTCTCAGCTCTTGTTTCTGTTGTAGCTTAGGGGTTTTTAAAGATGGTTCTCTATGATCATAATATACTGTACATATTGTACCTACAAATAAGTAATAAATTTTAAATCATTACCACCACAAAACAAAAGAATATTCAAAAACTAATAAAAATTCAAACTGGCACATGAGGTAAAATATAGAAACATACATGAGGCTGCCAATTTTTTGTTTGAGATATAATTGCAAAGAGTGAGCTTTATTTTTGTTTGCTGTCCTTAGTTGTACCTGAAGTTAGATATCTATAGCTTTAATTTAGTCCTACTATTTCTTTTTCCTTCTTGGACGTTTGAAGAGAAAGCACAGTGATATTTACCCATTTGCCCTATTTGAAGTCTCACTTTGAAAGTGAAACACTCTTATGGCCTGATTGGAGCTGATGAGCATTTATTTGTGGGCTCCAGGCCTGGCTTTTTAAAAGCTAGTCTTTTTACTCTCACAGACGGGATTCACCATGGAGAAATCAGATGGTTTCTGACAACAGGTTCTTTGATTCATTAAACAGGTATACAAACCTGTGCAGTTTTGAGAAATGTATTATTTCTGCTGTGTGGAAGTGTTCTGTTGGGGATTTTTTTTTCGTCTAACAAGGTAATCACCAGGTTGCTAGGATGAAGGCTGTACTGATCATGGCAAAAGGGAACATTACAAGTTACAAGTCTCTTTTCAAATTGTAGGGCTGTATTAACATTAAGTCTTGTCCATTCACAACTAAAACATTAAAAATGATAGTGATATAAGCAGTAGGCTCCACCCAGCTGCACATAATGACTGTAACATTATCAAGGCTCTCAAGTGTTGGTATAAACTGCCTGACAGCTACAGAACAGCAGGAGTCTAAGATAACATTCCACTCTGACTTCTGTACGTATGGGTGTGTTTTACTTGTGTGAATTATGAACATTATTTTGCTGTTCAGGCACACAAATGAGTTATTACTAGCAAGATAGGAAAGTCTGTGTTTTGTATTTGAGAGTGTTTTAGTGTATTGGATTTCCTTTTTCATACAAACCAGCTTATATGATTCTAAATAAAAATTGTATTTTGGAAGATAAACTTAAGATTTCCCTGAGTTCTACTTTCTGAAACTAGTTTCTGGTGTTCAACAGAAAACTACTCAGCTGCAGAATACAAAGGTACACATAAAAATAGCCACAGATGCATGTTAAACAGTTTGATTACAGTTTGAATTATCAGTCTTAACGAGCAGTACTGAACCATACATTAAATGCAGTGCAACCGTGTGACAGTGTTTTGATTTTCTATAATTTCTTTCCAGAGACTGTTACATAATTTGAATGACATACAAGAAAACCTTGTAATCTGGTGTTTGTAACACTTGCCGTAAAATGATGTAATTAAATGATTAACAACATTAGTTATTATTTTTTCTTAGGTAGTTAGGACAACAGATTATAAATACGTTTTACCTACAGTAGTTAATTGAGCTACTGGTGGGCGGTCATATCTGATTGCATGCTGCAACAAAGTAGACAGTCCCTGTACAGTGCATGAATTGTGGCTTTTCTTATCAGCAGTGCGGCTGTCATGTTCTCAAAACCATGATGTGTATGCTCTTACTCTTCAGCTTGGTTTAGTTAGTGCTTAAAGAAGTGGAGACCAGTGGCCTCAGTGTTGCATCATAGGAAGTGTGCTGAGTTGTGCAAGTCCTGGCATTGAAGAGAGGTTTACTTTCACTTTTCATTTAACAACACCTGTGCATATTTTAAAGCAAAGCAAGCCGCTGTGGATAATTGATGGGGTCTTGTGTCATTGGTCCACTGTGATTTTTTTTCTATTAACCACAGCTTCCTTTTGTGAAGTTATCAAGTGGACCTATTTAGATTGGCACCATAGTGAAGGATAGCTCACTATTTCCTCCTAGGCTATTTCCTCCTAGGCCTCAGATTGACGTGCAGTTAAAGTTAGTTAGAGAAGTTCTGGTGATCCCACGTTCTTTATCTCGTCTCTCCAGAAAAGGTAAACCTGTCATTCACAGCCCATGTCCAAATCAGAACATGTTTTTTTTCGTTGGTGATTACCTTGTTGGGATTTTTTTTCTTCATTTCAACCGATTCAGTGACAGAGGTGCATGTGTGTGTGATGCTTCCGTACATGTCTGCATGTCTGACTTCATTATACAGACCCCTGAGCTTCCTGCAGTATTCAGTATATCTCCCTCCCACCTCCCTTCCTCTCCCTCTTACATGTGCCTGGTGATGTTGAAGAACAGGACGGTACCGTTATACAGTAATTAAAGGTCATTGCGGTGTCCAGTTATTGTGATCCTGCTGTAGTAATCTACATGGGCACTTTATGGAATTAAACTAAAGGGTGTGTTTAAATTGAAAGTTGTCAACAAGTTGAAGTCATAATTAAAAAAGGTACATCAGATTGCTTTGTTGCTAAGTTACTGTTCAAGTATGAAATGTGGCTCCAAAACCATAATTATAACATAGTTATGAATACAGTACTTCCCAGTTTTTAACTTTTTCAGTCAGATAAAACAGCAAACACTGGCCAAACAGGATTATAGTTAATTTTCTTACACTGCAGATCTTGTTATTCTGTTGCATTTGTTACATAGTGCCTTACAAAAATATTCACTCTTTCACAGTTTTCACATTTTGTTGCTTTAAAGCTTGCAGTCATGACACATTGAAGTAACTATTTGTTATACACACAACCCCCTTAACACATTCATAGCAAAAAAAAAAGTAGTTATTTTAAAAGAAAATGTGGGAAAATCACGATGGCATTCAAACTCTTTTTTGTGGCAAACTAATTTAGATACCACACTGTTAGTTCCGTGGCCTCTGTGTGCAGTAATAGTGGTTCACATGATTACAGAAGAAATGTCAGAAACATGTATACAGGTATGTCTCTGTAAGGTCCTTCAGTCAGGTTTGGAATTTCAACTATGGATTTTTCATTAAAATTTATTAGAAGTCGTAGATTGGTCCATACCAAGAGAAAGATATAAAAAATATTTAAAAGAATATCTGCATATGGCAGCGTGGTGATTTCAAAGTGAAAGGTATATTGTACTCTCTGGACAGCGCCTAGATAAGGCCATCCTTCCAAATTGAGCAGCTGAGCAAAGAGGAAACTGGTTAGGGATGCCAAGATGAGGCCAACTGTAACTTTCAAAAAGCTACAGAGATTAATAGCTGAGATGGGCAAAATAAGTCCGAATGAGTCAACTGTGGCCTGTAAGGGAGAGTGACGAGAAGGAAAGCCATCCATCCAATTTGTAATCACTTTATCCAATTTAGGGTTGCAGGGGTGCTGAAGACTATCCCAGCAAGCAACAGGCACAAGGCAGGGTACATCATTTACAGGATGCCAGTTGCAGACAGGTTCATACATACACTCACTCCAGGGCCAGTATTCCCAATTTTCCCATCTAGAATGTTTTATAACTATGGGGAGGAAATCTGTGCAAACAGAGGGAAAACGTATAAACTCCATACAGATAGTACCCCAGGAATTGAGTTCAGGGGACCAGTGCTGTAAGGCAGCAATGCTAACCACTGTACCTCTCCACCACTCAAGAAGGAAGCCATTTCTGAAATAAAATCTTTTTTTCACCTTTTTTCCTCTTAGTTGACGCCTTCCTTACTGTCAAGCATTAATGCTGGTTGTAGCATTTAATTTTTGGGGGCTGCTGCTATTCAGGAGGGAAAAAGTTGTCCATACTGAGAGGGAAATGAATGGAGCAAATTACATGCACATCTTAAAGGAAAATGTCCTAAAACTTGGAAGAATCTGACATTTCAGCAAGTACAAAGCTATAAGCCAGCAGCCTTTTCATCCTGCAACATGCAGCTGGCAACCCACTGAAGCTCAGCAGGTGTGAGCGTGGTCAGAACCTGGATTTGAGATCCCCTGGGAAAGTTAAGGTTGCTGCTGGAGGGGGTGTTAGTGAGGCCAGTAGGTAGTGCTCATCCTCTAGTCTTTGTGAGTCCTAATGCCCAAGTATAGTCATGTGGACACTATACTGTAAAATGGCACCAGTAAAAATATTATTATTATTATTATTATTATTATTATTATTATTATTATTATTATGGAGTGACTTAAGAATGTAATGTAAATGTACTGTACTTCTGTGGCCCACTCAGTGTCCTGACTGCAGTCCAAGCGAGAATCTATGAGAAGACTAAAAGACAGTCCCTAAGTGATCCTCAAGCAACTCGAGAATTGCACCATGACAGTGTGCAAAGTCAGTAGAGACATATCAAAAAGACTTTGTGCCAAATGTAGTTTACCAAATGTTGATATCACAGGTCTGAATACATATGCAGTCAACATCTCAATGTTAACTTTTTAGTTTTTGCTGACCTTTACTATAACTTACCTTTCCTGTACGCATCATTTTTTAATTCTACAAAAAGTGACACAATAGGAAGAGTCTGAATACTTTTGCAAGGCACTGTGCGTCTACGTGCATGAACATGTAATGAATAATTTTTCCCAAATGTATTTTGAATTTGCCTTATTATTGTCCAACAATAACAATAATTCTTTGGACCTATTGGGAGTTAGATAAGGTAAACCCAACAATTCTGATAACACAGGACATGATTGTGAACTGTTGCTCACAAGGTCAATGTCTCACAACCTGTGAAGGATTTCTTATTGCTCAAAAAGTAGCAAGAGGTGAAGGAATAGTGGCAGATGTCTAGTGGCTGATGGACATTAATTTTAAAGGTGTGTGGATAAGAACATTTCAATTCTTGTGGTTAATTTAAATTTTCCACTCTAAAGATTAATCACTTCAGAGCACAAGTTTTAAGGATTTAGAAAGTACACTTTATGAGAAGACTAACACTTTCTAGTCTGTTATTGTGTCATGAAATCAGAAGAAGAGACTTTCAGTTGAATTTAAAGTTGTTTTAATCACTATAAACGAAAACGGAAAATGTAAATATTAGAAATTGGTCAGCCTTTGGCAGTTTCATTTTGAAATCCACTTTTAATCTCAGAAAGGGCCTGGAAATTCCAAGTGACCACCAAACATTTGTCATTACCTCCATTAAAACCAAGCTTTATTTCTTGTGCTATTGTATGTACGTTATGGAAGCAAATCCTGGAGTGTAGAGATAGGGTATTTTCAGCAATGCTCTCGAACAAAAGGGGATCTTTCAATTGAGATTTCAGATTTTAGCAACTGCAGACAAGAGACTGTGCATTAGAGCAATGTGCCGTAGAGGAAACATATTTTGGAATAGAATCAAAATCTGAAGACTACTTAATATTCACCGCATTTCCCTTGTAAATAGTTCTGCAACTTATTGTATCTAATTTCAGCCTGTTTGCTTTTGCACCAAATGGGGCTTTTTTTGAGAAAGGTATGGCTATGTTAATAAATTAATTCAAATGCATTGTCAAAAGCCTTGCTTAAATTGCTGTGATTATATTAATACATGTGAAGCTATACTGTCTTGTACGTTATGCAGTTTATGACAAGAGAAAGTTGCATTGTGATGGATCAGAGATTCTAAAGAGTACTCTTAAGTGTGTGTGCTTCTCTTACACAGGCCGAAGTCCACACCTACGCCAACTGGATCCCTAAGTGCCAATGGGATGCCAACAGAAGGTCTAGACTATGACAGGCTGAAACAGGTAAAGAGAAAAAAAGGTGCTGACATGGTCAGAGCATCGTGCATCATTTCTGGGTACTATGCCTCAAAAACAGCGTTCTCCTTTGGAAAATGAGGGGGCTTAAAGGCATTAAGCTTTACATGTAGTTATTGTGCATGGAAAACTGTACAAAAGTCTCTCAGGATGTAAGGCTAACAGGGTATTGTAGGTCTAATTATCTAATTGCGTTTCTCTTGAATTTTGTTGGTTGCAAGGTCACATTAAAGATAGAAAAATGTCTTATCTTGATTTCTGGCTTTACATCACAAAAACCTGCAATTTCAATAAGGGTGTGTAGACGTTTTATATCCACTGTTTATGGAGGTGTCTTCATGCTGAGAAGATTAATTGTTTTTAAAAAACAAAACAAAACTTCCTTTTACATCCTAGTGTTAGGCTATTGAACCCACACGTCACATAGGCAGGTAAAAAAAACAACAAATGAGCCTAAAGACCAGTTGTGACCCCTGAATTTTAGAATACAGGGTTAATCGATATAATAATCACTGAATTTATGCTGTTCTAGTAACAAAGAATAATTCACACACCTGTGGGGCAATATAATTGGATTATGCATGAAAAGTTCTCACTGTGGTCAAATTTGGCTGAATTGCCTGTTCCACAGCCCTGCTGCACAGTTTCTTTACAACAGTTGTGGAAAGGGTAAAAGATTAATAATTCTCTGAAGATCGAGTGATGTCAAAACCAATGAAGTAAAATGGAATAGATCAAAAGATACTGATTTGAAGTCAAAGGTGAGGAAATACCAAATTCCAGAGTCTTAAAAAAGGTAGTCTAGGATGCAAGAATTATTTCTGCTGTTATAGTTCGATATGGATCATGTACTGTTTGCTTCCTGTGAACTGTGAGTTGCTGAAGATAAAGCAGGTGTTGGTATGCACAGGTGACGCTTATTACACAGATTTTACTAAAATATTTTTTTTTAAATCAATTCATAAAACCTGATAAATGTGTATTGTGTTTGTTTGGCATTTATCGTGCTTAACGGTGGTATATGGAGCTGGTCATGCTGCAGAAAACATGGATTGCTTCTTAGTTTCGTTTTTAGCATCAAAAAGAGCAAAGCAATAGCTGTTCATATGTGTTCAACATACTGTACAGGATTTCCGTAAATTTTTCTTTTGTTTCCCATTTCTTTATTGTAGGACATATTAGATGAAATGCGGAAGGAACTGACAAAACTGAAAGAAGAACTCATTGATGGCAAGTTGAAAGCTTTCATTTATCTTTACTTTAGAGATAAAGAATTCTGCATTACTGAACACAGTCAAGTGTCTACACTTGGGGGACAGATAACCTTAGATGTGCCAGACTTGCATCACAAGCTGAGTGTGGAACATATACAGAGTGAGCATTTGACCCCAAATTCATATTTGAGATGGATACTTTAAAGTTGCCCTACAGGAAATTATGTAAATTACCATACCTTCAGCTAATGTCATAAAGAGCATGGTAATTAAAAATAATACTTAGAAAATTGAGTAATTTATGCAACATATGCATTTTATCTTCAGTGTATTAAAAAGAAATTACCTTAATTTGCACTGCCTCTTCTAGATCAAATCACTTACATCATACTGATTAGCTGTACATTTGGTGGCACTAATAGCAAGCATTACTTGCTTGCTGCTTGGTAATGAAGCAATGATACCTGCCTTGGCAGATGTTGAATTTAGAATTTGCACATTTATTCATTTTACTATGGCAATCTGAAAATCATGGGGTGTTGCAGTCTGTCTAGTGATAAACGTACTGCACAGCTGAGTGACCTGTGACCTGTGACAATTTGTTTTACAGCTATCAGGCAGGAACTGGGCAAGTCCAACACTGCATAGGAGTCGATCTTCCTTTACATTAACCTCTTGGCCTGAACCTCAAGGTCTACTACAATTACAACAAACATTTAGAAGAAATGATGAAGGAAAAAAAAGGCAACAACAAAAAGTGAGACATTCGTGCAAGCCGGAATAGCATTGAACACTACTATAACCTGGGAAGTGTGAGACAAGCAACAGTGAAGTGCTTTGAGTTTCCTCCCTTAGAGTTTGCTGCTCCTCTTATTCTGAAGACCTTCCCAGAGCGCAGGACTGAGTCTTAAGAGAGAAGAGTAACTGTAATTATGCAAAGATGACTCTTTGTAGAGAACACAAAAAAAGGAAAATAAAAAAATCACAGTGTGATAAAAGAAATCATTCACATTCTGAATATGGAAGGTTTGCACATATTTGTGAATTCATTGAAAAAGGCACATTTGGAGGTGTGTATGTGAATGGGGAGGGCAGGGGAGAAAGGGGGGCTGGGGTGGCAGTTTTGGGAATGAAGTCTTGTGGGCTGTAGAGAAAAGCTTATCTTTCTGGATTAAGGACTAAATGACTGGTGGTAGTCTACTGCTGCAGGACTCCGTAAAGCTCGTCTTCCTGAAATACTCTTGTACCCGAATATGTACATTTAAAATCTCTGCAAGTTGTTTCTTCATGTCTGTTCTAATGTCAACCATGGCCATATCAGGTAGCTTTATGGGATTGTCATGGGATGGCCAGTCTCTAGGTCTTTTCGACTTAATATTCTGAGACCTTTTTTTTTTTTTCAGAAATGAATGCTCAGAAACCTAACTCTAATGAGCCTACATCTTATTTCCATTTGTCGCGGGTTGGTGAGGTGATCACGAAAGTAGATGCCTTCCCAAGGCACTGTAGCTCCTTACCAAATCTCAGTCTTCTCCTTTCATTCAAAATCATCCGTCAATATTGTACATCATTAAAAAAACGTCTGTAGATAGAGCTGTTTAGTTTTCCTTTTCCTTTGTTTTATTTGAAGATTTAATATTTTCATCCAATTTAGTGCATGTCAGATTTTGTAGTCCACTCAACCACCAAGGATTTTGTTAATCAGTTTATAAGCAATAAGTGTAACATCACCATTCAATTGCCTTTTTTAAGTTGAGGCTCTCCTTGATTTTTAATTTCAGGGCCTCGATTTTTTTTCACCATGTCTCTTTTCTTATCCAGATATTTTTTTAAATTACTTCCATTTTATAAATGCTTAGGAATCAATAAAATTGAGACAGCGCAAGGGATGGGTTACTATTGGATAGTCTATGAAATTATAGCCATGGTAAATTTAATTACATTTATTTCATTTTGGATTCTAGAAAGCTAAATTAGTTTGCTAATTGCTGCTGTATTCTAGGTTTAATGCCTCTCAGCTTCAGACATAAGGCTTTCACTGAATAAGAATGTTTAAGCAGAAGGAGAAAATGATGATTTGACTTAACAGCAGAAACCTTTTATTTTTGCCAGATTTGCAACTTTTACTACATCAATTTTTTAATTAACTGTCTGGAAATTCCTTCTCCACCTTGTGAGGGCTGTTATTTACTTTGTATTACAAATGTAACTTTATTCTTGGTAGTACTGAATTAATTTGCAAACTTATTCTACAATAAATAATACATTTCAGTGTGTGAACAAAATGGCAAACAAAAAGTCTCAAAACTGTGAAAAGTGTGAAAGAGACTCTCAGGCCCAGTTTTCCTGGTGGACAAACTGTGGGCAGATTGTTGATCTAATTCATTTTCCAAGTATTTTGCCCTTGGCCCTACAGGAAACAAATAAGGACCTGTTTGCATTTGAGTAATGTATCACTAAACATGTTTCCTACAAACAATGGTTGGTGTTTTAGGAAACTGAAAACCCCCAAACTCCAAAAAACACTATTTTGAATAACCCAAACCCTTGCCCTCTCGTCCTTTCTATGTTTGATTTCATTTGTTTGCCAGTTCAGCCTGCATTGTTAATGACAAGGTAGCCTTGCTTTTTCAATGAATTGTTACATTTCTGCCATCTGTGATATCATCCAAAATGGCTAAGGTTATAAAAGGCAAAACTAGTGATGAAGCAATAGGACACATTTTAACACTTTTATTTCTCAGTGTAACAACAAAATAGGTTTTCGTCATCTCATTAAGACACAGTATAGACAAGAGAGCTACTGCAGGAGTTTCTGTTGTCTTATTGTTTCATTTCAACTGCTTAGCCGTGTGTTGTAGAACCAAGATGTTGAACATTTGTGCAGTGTTGACTGTTTATAGCATTGATTGCACTTTAAAACCCATTTGGATTCATACTGTTTCTGTTGACATGATAGTGGCCAATGCCTCATTGTGACAGTGTGGCAATTTCACCAAAGTTACCAATAATTCCCCCCATTCTATGTAATGCCACGTTTTGCCATCTGTGACTACCTGTATGAACAAGAAAATAGCAACAAAAACATTCATCATATCATCAGGTGTGTGCTTTGGGAGCTAAAATATTTTGATCAAGGTGAAATACATCTATTAATGGATGAACCTGTTTGTGATCCTAATAGGTTTGTGCCTTGTTCTGAAGTTGTTTTAATATGTTGAAGAAAATGTTAATTCTAGAAGCTGTCATAACTTTGTAAATGATTGTTTTTTGCATTCTGCTATAGGTATTTAAAAAAGGGAGATCTGAGGTTAATGTTTGTTTTAGAAAAAGAATGCTTTCTTCATCAGAACTCTGTTTGCTGTATTTGTTTTTCTCAGCACCCCATGTAATGACATTTTTGGCAGATTGATGTTCCAGTAATAGGTTCAGAGGCTGTGGGAGAGTCTGAATGGTTGTCTCATAAATTTTTCTGCAGTCAAGTAAATTGAATGTTAAAATCAAAATGCTGGTTCTAAACACTTCTCCCCACATTACGATTGTAAAACCTTTTCAGAAAATTGGCTGGCATAAGCGGACGCTCAAGTGAATGCCAGAGAAATGGAACTGAATCTAACTGAAAATCATCAATGTTTCCTTTTATTACTTTTTTTGAGTCTTTTATCATTCACATTGTACCATACTGTTCCTGATGTTACATTTTAAATTTCTTACATGCTAACATTGTTTGAGCGAATGAAATAAAATTGCAATACATTAACTCCCTGTCTCTTTTATTTTGTATCTACCCACGAGATGTTAGAAATACTGGTAAAATATTGGTGTCAGGTGAGAGATAGCCTTTGGTCCTTCATTACTTCATTACTAATGTCTTCTCTTAACCATCTTAACTAAGACTATTTTGCCCTAAAACTGTATATCAGCACTGACTGAAATTATTCAGGATGCCCTTAGTTGCCCAGTTATACTGGTTTTAATATGTAGTACTGTGTATTTGTTATTCTTGTACGAAGTGGAGAATAGAATTAGTGCTTAGATCAGCACAAGTGGTTTTCCCAGTCTGAATTGACTAGCTTTAAAAGATTCCCCACTGACTTACATTTTGAGCCCTGGCAGACTTAACTTTTACAGTTCCATTTTTATAGATTTTCACTCCTTGACAGACTTGTGGAATTGTCTTAGTCTTTTAATGAGAAGGCCTTTTTAAAACATCCTGCCTTGAAATGAACACCTGCTATCCGCTTTACAGTGGTGGACATTGCTTGCAGTGTCCTGTATGTTGCAGACAAGAGGAGAGGTTGAAGGTGCGTGGAGGCAAGACTTAAGCCACATTCCATTGGCACACTCAGTGTCTTCCACTCACAATAATTAGGAGGGCATGTGTTTGTACTTGCAGGGATCTTTTAGTTTAATACACAACGTTTCTTTAAACTTGCATAAGTTTGTTAAACTGCTGTGCAATTTTGCAAATTGCAAATGTTATGTAACGGGCAAATGAACCTGTTCCAAACGCCAGACTCGAGACTAAATGCATTTACTTTCGGGAATATTTTCATTTTATGAAGGTGGAAGGCAATATGTCTAATCTGTGTGAACTCAAACATCAAGCAAAAAGGAGGAAATAGTTCTGTGTTCCTGCAGGAAATGGCGACACCCACCCTGAGACAACACAAAGTCGAATCTTAGAAGACTTTTTTTTTTCACTTTTCAAACACTTTGTATTCCCAAGTAAAACTGGTTTGACAAATTCCAAAATCAGGATTTTATTGAGTGATGTTTGTGTGTGAAATTATTTTTCTTATGTCTGTCATTAACTCTTACATCAAAATTACCAGCTTTTAGATAAGGCCTAAAGAATGGCTGACTAATATATGACTAAAAGCAAAGAAATCCTTGCTTTCCTAGCTTCAACTAAATTATTTTCATTAGGTTCCTATAATAGGTCAGTTTATCTTTGGAAAGTTATTTTACATTAGCTGAAGGAACCTTTAAGTTTGTGCTGTTTACGCTCTTTCTGTGAGAGCTGAACCATATTTCTAGAGACATCAAGTGTTAGTGATCTTACTTGCAGACTAGAGAGATTTCACATTAGTCCCAGAATTCCCACATCTGAGGAAGTAAGCTTCTACAAATTAAAATTATCAAAAACTTTTTGGTGTAGCAGCCCAGAACCCAATCATGTATATTAGTGTTAGTTTTAGATGTTTGTATATAACTGAATTGATTAGTGATATATCAAATAGGTTATTTACTGTATCACTCAACTGTAGTGTTTCTCCAGTAAAGCATTTTAAAAGAAATGTCATACCTTTTGTGTTGTAGGTACTATTGTTTCACACAGGGAACACTGTTCAACTGTGGTAATTAGAGGAAGAAGAACAGGAAGTGATGCACCAAACAGAGAGCAGTAGGAGCGATGGAGCGGAAACTGTTTGAAGACACTATATGCGGTGAGCCGAGTTGTGTGTGCTCACTTTGTGAACAAAGTCACCCGGTCACTTGAAAGTCCTTATTCTGTAAGTTCAGTACTTACTACTCCTGTAAGAAACCACACAATCTTTTGTACATTTTCATTTGAAAAGTGTACAGTACATTGAAGTTGGTATGTATTGTATACAGCTTTATTTAAATTGCTCTGTTAATATCTATTATACCAAGGTATCTTGTTTCCTAACAATGTGGAAGTAGAAACTGCTTATCAGTAGACTCTTCATTTTACTTATCAGCTTTTGATTGCTGGAACATGTACAATAAAATGTTTTTCTGTTCCCTTAGTATGTATTTAAAAAAAAAACAATTTTAAGAATTTATGAGTGTTCATCTAAAACTATTATCTACCCCCAAAAATCTTTGCTTTCTGAATTTTGGTTTAATGTGAAAGGATCCCTAGGGCATTGAATTTAGTGATGCAACAGATTAATTCATAATTTATCAGCAAGCCCATCACCAAGGACACCAGTCCATCGTAGGGAGTTCATACAATTTAAAGACACCAGCCAGCCAAACCCGCATGTCTTCAGGAGTTATGATGAAACCAGTGAGTTTTGATGAAACTACTGAGAAAACCTGATAACATTCAGAGAGACCATAAAAATCCACACAGAAGGTTTCGGGAGTACATTTCTGAGCCCAGAAGCCAGAGCTCTGAGGAGGCAGGGCTAGCACCCAGATCTCTCTGACTCCCACTTGCAATTCATGCATCCATCAATCTTTAATCAATTCATCCAATACAGGGTCATGGAGGAGCTGGAGCCTATCCCAAAAACTGATGTGCAAGGCAGGGTACACCCTGGATAGGACACCAATCCATCACAGACACGCACACACTCACATAGGCCCAGGTTTTTCCAGAAGCCAATTAACCTACCAGTATGCCTTTGGATTGTGGGAGGAAAAAGGAACACCCGGAGGAAACCCATGTGAACAGAGAGAGAACATAGAAACTCAACACAGATAGCGTCCCGACTCCAGAATTGCACCCAGGGCCTCAGTGCTGTGAGGTAGCAATCCTAACCAGAGCACCACCATGCTGCTTTCACATGGGATTCAGTATGACGCAAATAAAATTAAATTGTTAAAAGGAGTCAATGGATAAAAGAACGCAGTAAATATGTAGTAAACAGTAATGAACTTGAACTGACAACATTTGAATAGGATGTTTTTTTTTAAACAATACCTTGAGAATATGGACAGTTAATCTGTAATAAGAACTTCCTTGCATAAAAAGTGTAAATTGTTGAATTTTACATCAGAGGGATGCAATGTGCTCTCATACAATTCTGCAATATTTCATTCTGTATTAGCTGTCACCACTGAAAAGCATACAGCTGTTCTGGAAAGAGTCCAGAGCTGAGAACATACATGTAGATTGATCCCCCCCAAAAATCGCCAATTTATATAGAAACAGGATGAATCTGCTGTAGCCTGTAACTAAAAATGCTATGCTACAATGTAGTTGATTGAAAGACTGAAAATTCTAAAAGGAACTAATGAAACAAAATCAGAGAATTCTTTATTCAACACAGAGTAGGACAAGAAGAGCAGGTATAAATATTTTAGAACATGGAAATTCACATATTTGTATATATGGCGCCCATTGGTACTTTTTGTACCATTTGAATTGCTTATTACTGAAAATAGGTTGATAAAGTGAAATCCATCCCCTCTCACTGAACATTTTTTCTTGTATTTTAAGTACCTGGCTGAGTAACAGATGAAAGAACTGGAGGAAAAATCCATGAATAAACCCATCATAGCAGGATAATCCAATCACTTAGCAGTTTAAGATCAGTTTTGTTAAATGAACTAAGCAGATGCTGTCTTTGAGAAATTATGCTCTTTTAAATCCAGTCTTATTCAGTTCAATGTACCAGGTCTTTTATGACATCTCCAGAAACGTTGCCAAAGTGCCAAAGGATGAAGTGTTTCTTCCATATTGATTATTTCTGGAGTGTATAATTTCCTGGACTTTTTTTTTTGTATTTTCTTACAAAGAGGAAATCTAGACGTGCTGCTAGTTAAGTCGGAAATTGATACATTGTGCAGCAGAACTGCTGCAAGACAGGAAGGCTAAGCAGCTGCAGCTGCTGTATCCTAGCCGCAGAAAACTAGTGGGCTGAACAGAAACACCCCCATTTAAATACTGCTCTTCATTTGGATAACAACACACGCTTCTGCACCACGATTGGAGAGTTTCAAGCTGCGCTACTGTTGCAGTTTTACTAAATAAAGTTCATATCTTGCTTTCACTTTCATCTGGTAATGGTGAAATGTGCACATACTCTATAAACGTACCTTGAGAACGATGCGTCCAGCAACATGTCTCTATAACTGGTGAAATGGGATAGTGGACGGTGGAGTGAAAGAAAGTTTATTGCTGGGTTGTATATCAATTTTTTCAAAAAACAATTAAACTACTGCCTCATTCTTGAAATACACCTCTCTATTTCTGACTTATTTTGTTGTCCCAGAGGGGAAATTAACTTTGCAGGCAGATAAAAGACATAGAACAATACAGAATTCATTTAACACAGCATGAACACCTTAACAAATAAGAGACATAAAGTACATGTATGATGAGAAAATATATATACAAGTAAAATAATAGTCAGCTGTCCAAATTAAGTACGGTAATAGCATGGGAACAAAAGATGACTTAGTGTGAATATTACTACAATGCTAAGTTCTATCAGGTACATTTGGAAATTTCTGCATGAGCAGAAGACATGCCATGTTCAGTCAGCTTGCTCAGTTAGAATGGGGCTATGAAATTGAACCTGTATGTCTTTGGAAAGCAGGACATCAATAGGGTGCTTGGTAAAGCCCCACATGAATACAGTGAGAACATGCACACTCCACACGGACACTCCAAAGCCAAATCAACCCAGCATCTTGGAGCTGTGTGGCGTTGTTCACTTACTTTTGGCATTCGAATAAAAAAAAACAACCATTCTAATTAAATTAAAAATTTGCGTTTGGTTTACAAACACCAAATAAATTCCAAATGCCATCACAGTATGGTTCACAGGACCAGTGGGTTCCTTGATGGTGGGGATGACCGAGAACACAATTCATTGTTTAAAAAAACAAACCATAAAAGACAAAAACTCAATAAAAGATGTGCAAAATAACCACAAGAGCAAGGCTAGCATTCATGGTCTCTGAACCTGTCAAATCTACAGTAAGTCTAACAATATTTTTTTGACTGAGAATGCTGTAAATATCAAGATCGTCTCTCTGGCACTTCTAGAATTGGTGGTT